GTTTTCGTTGTACTATCCAAAATAAAGCAATACATTATACAGAAACTATTTCCTGTGAAATTGAATAAAACTTATAAAATCATTCATAAAACGTGTTTGCCGCCTCAATCCCCCATACAATTATGTCTTTTCTTTTAAAAGTATATTAAAAGATTTGGCAACTAATAACAATCCAGTTTAAACCTGTTACAGTAAGTGCACAAATTGCATGGAGGAGAAACAGAACCATTGTAAATATATTTAAATAAAGCATTTTGGATTCTTACATTTATTTACATCTGAGTGCAGGTGTTATTTTACCCCGGCATGGAAAAATAATACTTTTTGCAGAAAGGGTTAAACATAACTTTAGTGACTGGCTTCTTGACAGCCACAAGAGCCGCTTGCACTGACTAAGTGAAACTGTCACATGATGTTGCAGCCCATAGAAATGCACTAAATTCAATGCTTTACTATGACTAGCACTTGGATGCACAACAGTACACTAACTTTTAACACCTACCATTCAGTCTTGTTTTGCTCCTTCCCCTATCTGATGTGATTGGCCCTGCTTTGAAACATTTCTCCAAGCTGGGAAATCTAACTCAATAACCTCAAAATGCCTTTGCTCATAGCAGGGAGCTTCTGGCTGCAGAGAGGCTCGGAGCAGTACCTGACAGATCACCAGGCAAGAAATCAAATGATTAGCAAACATTTTGACTACTTACATTGGGAGGTGTGGGTGGCGTGTGCAACAAGTTGTAGTGGTTATGGTGCTTGAAGATTTATTTAAGGACAACTGACTATTTATGCAGCTATAGTGTTGCATATGGTTCTTTAAGGATACTATGTGAATATGGAATGAACCACTCCGATAAAGATTGCAGGTCTTCAGAGATACGAAGAATAAATGTGTAGGTTATTTCATACCTGCATGAGGTCTTTACTAACCATATTGTGATGACGGCAAATTGTAAAATAATGACCAATGAAAAAAATGGATTGCTTTCAAATGTAATCTGCCCATATTTCAAATTCAATCAAACTAAGTTCTATGCTGACTGACAGACATGCTAAAAATTAACACAAATTATTATTCTTCATTGGTGTAAGCAAAAAATACCTAAAATGAGGGGAAGGAGCCAGCGCTCAACCTGATCAGTTGCATACTTACGGCTCTCCGACGATCAAAACCCCTAACAACCTAAATTCTGCACAAATCAGCTGCTAATTACACTACAAGAAGCCCAGCGGCACCCCAACACTGATGGGGAGAAAAACTAAAAAAAAAAAAACGCACCCAGATCGGCCTCGGAAATCCGCTGATATTGGTGAATTCTTGAGGAGACCGCATGGCTCCGCAGGACTACTCTGACAGCTCGGACGACATCCCCCTGCATAGCTCGGAGAATCTGGGATATCGAGGGCTGGCTAAGTCTGTACAGCCGACAGCAGTTTGTAGTAGATGATTTACTGCAAACCAATTAGTTTGAATGACTGTTCCTGTCCAAATTAAAGATAATAAAGTTGCGTGCACGCAGAAGTAAATTCACACTGAGACACAGAGTTCAGGTTAATGAAAGAACTTCGGAGAAGTTTAATGGCTTCTGAATAAAAAGCAGGCTCGCAGGCCCTTTTAAAGGCATTATTACATCATTGAAGAAAATCAAGATATAGACAAATAGACATTGTTAATTGGCTTAGGTGCTAAGTAGTTAGTAAAATGCCCTCCCTACGGGGTGTACCATCTTAGGTCACTATCCTCGTCATGATTGTCTCCTCCAGGTTTTAGCGCCATTTTGTTAACATGAGGAGCTCACTCGACGGGAGGGGCCTTTTGGCAGCTATCCATTTAGAGTGTAGCCTGGCACTGTTAGTTTCTCAAGGTTAGGTTTCAAGGCTTTTAGTAAATACACATTTTATCAAAGCTATTTCTTGCTGACATGCAAATTCTATGTTCTATAGACAAAGCTTTCTTGTAAAACTATGGGGCCTCTTAGAGGTATAGCAAGAGGATTTAAAGGGGCCTTACAGATTTATAGAGGACTAATAATTTTACAACAGTCCCCCCTTAAAATGTTATTTGCTAAAAGACAAAACTTCATTTGTTAGTATCAGAAGATGTGTTAGCCCAAAGACACAGAAACCCCATGACCGCTGACTTAGTGTTAATGCAAAGTGCAAGTCTATCCCTCTCTTGACCCTAACAGGCTGCAGCACATCCGTCAGTACGGTTCAGGAACACTCTTCACTCCGCTGGTAACCCATAGTGGCTTATCCACTACTTCTCCGTACGGCAGTCTACCCATAAAGACGGACGCTGTCCCTGTACTGTCCCTTCCTGGACTTTCTGCACTTCATCAGCATACGGGAGAGTTTGTAGCGGAATACAGGGTGATGTGAGGTCTTGGTCACCAATCTCTAGATGGGCGAAGGTTGGTGTTGCTTGGTCTACAGTTTTCTGCAGGAATTTCCTTAGGCATGGGAGGACACAACAAATGAGAAGAGCGAGAATAAAAAGAAAAATTAGTAAGGCAATACCAATCTGGACTAAAGCTCTCTGCCAACCAGTCATCCAACCAAACCATTTTTCCCAGGGATCAGTAACTCCAGAGTTTCTCTTTAACTCTTCTGAGAGTCTATTTAATTTATCTATGGCCAGAGTGACTTTACCATTAGGACCTGTGTTTTCTGGGATATAAGTGCAACAAGTCATGGTGTCAGGTAGTATTTTACATACACCCCCCTTTTCAGCTAGAATCATGTCTAAGGCCATTCTGTTCTGGAAGGTCATCTGGGATGTGGCCTGCAACTGCTCGGCCAGGCCCTGGAGGGCATCCCTGGTGTAGTTGACAAAACGCTGTTGGTTGTAATAAATGTAGTTAATCCAATTAAGGTTTTTGTTGGCAGTGACTATGGTAAAAAGTGATTCAAAACCTACAGCGACTTCATCTCTAGCTTTAAATTCATTAGGCACCCCCCTAGGTACCTCAATGGCATCTATGTAAATGTGAGGGTCAAAACTGCCTTTTACTGGGGTTTCGCGCCTCACTCTGGCTGGTGTATGTGGAGGGTCGTATGTGTCATGATGATTATCAGAAATAATATGAATGGGCATGATAACTTTGGCTAGGGTACACTCACCCCACCACTCAGTTTCCAGCCTAGATCTTAACTGTAGATCCCCACATAACCAGTAAATATCCCCCAATGACCTGGTATGGTGTTGCAACAGGCGTATAGGAACAGTTCTGTAAGTGGCGCAATAACCTTTAGAAAAATTACCCATGAATTTACCAATCCCGTCATACATGGCATAACAAGTGTAATTACCTCTATAGACTGTGATTCCATCTGGTGGCTTAACATTTTCAACTAAGAGGGGGTACTCTGCCGCCCATGATTCGCAGAGGGATCTGTTGAAATTATAGCGGTAGGCAAAAAGACTAAGGAAGCAATTCTCTATCTCCAAAGGGAGAGTTAGAGGAACGGTGCCAAGATGAGGTCGAGCACCACCACACACATAGCATGCGGTTTTGTTATGTTTATTAGCATTATACCTCATCCATTCTAACCACAAATTAATGTCATTGAATCCAGTTTCAGCGGCCATGGTATCTTCAAAAGTGGGGTTAGCGATGGCCATCATATCTTTAAAGGACTGGATATGTGGTTTTAGCGGATTTGGGACCATATGATCAGCCCCTTGCCACTCTGGAGAGTGGTACATATATCTGAGGTAGAAATGACCTAATTTGTTGTAGGAACCTGTCTTCCAATACATTCCCATTACATATCGGTCTGCATCCTCGGGGCCAGGATGTTCAATATTTAACATTAATTTCATAGGGGTACTTCCTCCAGGCTTTCTTAAAGTCATTATTTGAAGGAGGGATCTACCCTGATTGTCTATCTTAGATAAAGCACTTTTGGGTTTATAACCCCAGGCAGGCCCAGTATTCCATCCCGCAGCCCCCCAGTAGTTACAGTCATAACCCCATTGTTCATCTACTACACAAACGTAAGGGTCTTTTGCTTGTGGTATGTGGCGAAACCAGCCTCGCCACTGTCCACTGGAGGAGCCTGGTTGCTCGCCTGCTCCCTTTAGACTATGGCCCGGCAGTTAAAACCTTTTATTTTCCCTGCAAAGCGTATTCATGCCTTTCTGTAGACTGTTAAAGCCATGCTACCCCAGATAGCTATGCCATGGAGCCCAGCCTGTATACTGAAAGACTGTATGAAAGACTTTGGCTCCATGGCGATTGAACTGTATTTATGTGATCTGAGCGCCATTCGGTAGTAATGTGCACTCAGATCTAAGCTATTTGGGGATATGTAGAATGTCTATGTTTTATGGAATAAATGTAACTGTATGTAATTTTATGTCTTTTATTGTATTGTTACTGCCATGTGGTTAATGGAGTCTTGCCTCTGTCCTGGGAGATAATTGGATTACTTCACAATTATCTCCTGGACAGAGAGGAGGGATTGTGATGTAAATGTGGGTGTGTTTTACGGTTCCCCTGTAACGATTGGTTGTACTGTGTCCCACCCTGTGGGATGTCCCCTTGCATGGGGACTTGCATAAAAGCCAGTGTGTGGCCATTACAGAGAGTTCCTGTTTTAACCCTCAAAGTGAAGTGTCGTCTCATTATTGGGGGAAGGATTTATTGTATGCTGTTCCAGTTTGACTGCTAGGAGAGTAAACCTATTCGTATGGTTCCTATTCAACTGTCTACAGCATTCATATGCTTGGGAGAATTTATTTGTTTCTCCGGTTCGGTGATTGTGGTGTCTGCCAGAGTGCTTGGAGTCCTTAGGAAGCGCTAGGAGCATCCTTCAACGGAGGTACCCAGTCGGGGTGCCAGGCGATCCGTTACATTGGTGGCAAGCGACGGGATCATTTCCACAGCCCAGAAGGACAGCTATAATACAACACCAGTTCCTGGATTACAAATTGAGGGCAACGCCAGTACCCGTACAGCGACCCTATCTACAAAAGAACCTACTTCAGCAGCGCAAGCATGGCACCCAGCTACACTCAGGAGCAGTATGACAGAGAGTTAACCATGCGGCTGGCTTTCTTTGGACCCAACCCCCCGGAGAAATATGTGCAGCTCGTAAGGAGCCAGGTAGACGAGTACCTGCAGTTCATGGCAGATCCAGCCAAAGGTATCGGCCGCCCTATCCGGTGGCAGAGTGCGTTACGGGGACTCAAAGGTGTACCCCAGGGAGCTGAAGGTGTTGTCCTTCCTCCCCAGTGGCAGAGTACGTCCCAGGGAGCTGAAGGTGGAGTCCTTCCTCCCCAGCGGCAGTGTGTATCCCAGGGAGCTGAAGGTGCAGTCCTTCCTCCCCAGCGGCAGTGTGTATCCCAGGGAGCTGAAGGTGCAGTCCTTCCTCCCCAGTGGCAGTGTGTATCCCAGGGAGCTGAAGGTGCAGTCCTTCCTTCCCAGCGGCAGTGTGTATCCCAGGGAACTGAAGGTGTCGTCCTTCCTCCCCAGCGGCAGTGTGTGTTCTTAGGAGAGGAGACAGTTGGTCCCTCTCCCCAGCGGTCAAGTGAGTCCCAGGGAGCTGAAGGTGTCATCCTTCCTCCCCAGCGGCAGATTGTATCCCAGGAAGCTGAAGGTATCGTCCTTCCTCCCCAGCGGCAGAGTGTCCTGCAGGGAGCAGAGACCGTCAGTCTCGCACCCCAGCAGCAGGACAAAATATTGAAAGGGGAGACAGCTGGTCCCCCTCACCACCAGCAGAGAGAGTGTCAGGGAGAGGAGCCTGCTACCCCCTCTCCCCAGCGGCAGGTTACAGTTCAGAGAGAGGAGCTTGTTACACCCTCTCTCCAGCGGCAGCCTAACCCACCAAGGGGAGATGTTACACCCCCCAACAGTGCAGATGGGACCGTAGTCTTTGCACTTGCAGCACAAGGGGTAGGGACGGTCGGTCCTGTCCCCCAGCCCCAGAGCTGTGTACCCAGAGGGGAGACGGTCGGTCTCCCCCTCCCACAACCAGGCTCCAACCAGGTTACTTCAGTGGTAGCGCTGGCACCAGGGCAGAGTACCGCTGGTCTCTGCCCACTCAGCAACCCACCAAGGCAGTCTACCAGCTCCCCGCACAGCCGTGGTGAGGAACCTGGACCTGGACAAGCTGCTACTTTATCCAGGTGGAGTAAACATTTATTGTGGGTGGGAGGTACTGCTGTTTGTGCTTCGTGGGTGGGTTGCTGGACTAACCAGGGCACTGACCGACAGGAGGTCAGATACCCTGTTAGTCTTGATGGTAAAGGGGAGAAATGTGGCGAAACCAGCCTCGCCACTGTCCACTGGAGGAGCCTGGTTGCTCGCCTGCTCCCTTTAGACTATGGCCCGGCAGTTAAAACCTTTTATTTTCCCTGCAAAGCGTATTCATGCCTTTCTGTAGACTGTTAAAGCCATGCTACCCCAGATAGCTATGCCATGGAGCCCAGCCGTATACTGAAAGACTGTATGAAAGACTTTGGCTCCATGGCGATTGAACTGTATTTATGTGATCTGAGCGCCATTCGGTAGTAATGTGCACTCAGATCTAAGCTATCTGGGGATATGTAGAATGTCTATGTTTTATGGAATAAATGTAACTGTATGTAATTTTATGTCTTTTATTGTATTGTTACTGCCATGTGGTTAATGGAGTCTTGCCTCTGTCCTGGGAGATAATTGGATTACTTCACAGTTATCTCCTGGACAGAGAGGAGGGATTGTGATGTAAATGTGGGTGTGTTTTACGGTTCCCCTGTAACGATTGGTTGTACTGTGTCCCACCCTGTGGGATGTCCCCTTGCATGGGGACTTGCATAAAAGCCAGTGTGTGGCCATTACAGAGAGTTCCTGTTTTAACCCTCAAAGTGAAGTGTCGTCTCATTATTGGGGGAAGGATTTATTGTATGCTGTTCCAGTTTGACTGCTAGGAGAGTAAACCTATTCGTATGGTTCCTATTCAACTGTCTACAGCATTCATATGCTTGGGAGAATTTATTTGTTTCTCCGGTTCGGTGATTGTGGTGTCTGCCAGAGTGCTTGGAGTCCTTAGGAAGCGCTAGGAGCATCCTTCAACGGAGGTACCCAGTCGGGGTGCCAGGCGATCCGTTACATGGTATATCTTAGAAACATAGAAACATAGAATGTGACGGCAGATAAGAACCATTCGGCCCATCTAGTCTGCCCAATTATAAAGAATCTTTATAAATGGCTTGAATCTGTGACTTAGGGAATGGGCATTCTACAATATCACAGTAATCAAAAGTGAATGTAGCCACATGGGTACATGATGAATTATACCAGAAAGTGTACCCACTAGCATCTTTGGTGATGGCCACCTGCTGGGCTTTAAGGAGGCCAACTAAGGAGATAATGTACCAGAGGCACATGGTTGTGAGGAGTCTGCTTCCTCTGGGACAGGAACCTTTTTGCAATGGGAGGCGTGTATCCAGTTGCTTTTCCCAGCCAACTTGACGGAGGTGGAGGTGATCAGTAGAACTTGGAATGGTCCGTCAAATCTTGGTTCCAGGGTGTGTTTCCGCACAAATTCCTTGACTAGGACCCAATCACCAGGGTGCAGACTGTGGTTGCCCGTATCAGAATCAGGATCTGGAATTGAAAAGAAACCTTGGGCATGGATTTTGTTTAAAGCATTTGCGAGTTCAGTTACATAATCTACTAAAACATCAGTTTGAAGTTGTAGTTGTTGGGGAAAATAGCAACCTAGCCTAGGTGAAGTCCCAAATAAAATCTCATATGGGGTCAGTGAGGTAGTATTTTTGTACAAGAGCATTCATAAGATCCTTTGATAAATGTGCAGGTCCGTGTGCCCATTATACGACTGCTGGGTACAAATTCTTAGGGAGGCAGAAATTGAGGTTGTTGGAGTACACTCCATCCTTCAGAACTGCCCCTTTCTGTTTCCATATTTGTATTTCTTCAGGAGCAACTGCAGCCTGTTGTTCCCGTAGGGTTTTTAGATCAGTTGGAAGTGTCTGCAAGGTAAATGTGGGAGTTTCTTCGTTTCCGGACACACTTCTGTCCACTTCCTGTAGTTCTCTTGCAGCTTGTTTTGCAACTTGATCAGCCAGATGGTTGCCCCTTGGTTCATTCGAATCCAGCTTCCCATGTGCCTTTACCTTCAGAATGGCCACTACTTCTGGGAGTAGGAGGGCATCCATCAGCTCCTTGATTGTAGAACTGTGCTTGACTGGTGTACCGGCAGTGGTAAGAAATCCTCTTGTTTTCCAAATTAATCCGGTCATGAGCCACGCCCAATGCATATCTTGAATCTGTGTAGATATTGGCGCGCTTTCCTTCAGAGATCTTGCATGCTGAAGTCAGGGCTTGCAATTCAGCTTCTTGTGCAGACATTGTTGATGGTAAAGATGATGATTTGACAATTTCATCTGTTGTGGTCACGGCATATCCTGTATGGTATCTTCCTTCTTCATCAGCATATCTTGAGCCGTCCACAAACAGGGTGAGATCAGGATCTACCAATGGGTCTTCATGCACAGTTGGTAGATGTGTTGTTTCCATTTTCATCTGTTCAAAACAGTCATGAGGTGTATTTGGGTCGTAGTCATTCACTATGGTTAAATCTTGGAACTCATTTTCCAGGAAATGACGTAGCCATGCTTCTAGGTGGTCAGTTGTTGGATATTTGACACCATTTTCCTGTAGCTGTGATTCGTCCATAGTGGCCCATGCTTTTGCCATAGGCCCAAGATCATTCCATGATATTGTTTTCAACTTGGTCACAGGGACATGTGGAATGGCAGTGTCCCAATGACGGTACAAATACTTGAGTTCCGGAGGTAGATGAATCAGGACCGTACTGTTGCCTTCAGAATCACAGTAGAAGTCTTGTGCAGTGAGTTTTACTTCGACCAGATGATAGAGTTCATCTTCATAGCAGGGTTCAGGAGTGATGTTTGGTTTGTACCACATGGTACAGAAGGCATATCCTGCTCCGTCATGAAGGAGTGCTTGTCCATCATGAAAGGATAGGTTGGGATGCATTTCCTTCTTGATGGTGCCAGTGAGAAGAAAAACATAAGTTTCGTCCATGATGAATCCGTAGTATACACCCCCCTCAGGGAGTGGCAGAAGAGTGGACGGATTGAGAACTTGACATCTTTGAAGGGTAATGTTGTCAGGCAACAAAAGATGACATTGAAGGCGAAGATGCCTAGCAGGAGTAACATGCTTAAGTTGGACCTGGTTGACTATGGCAGAAATGTCATGAGGGGCCAAGACAACCAGGGGGTGGCCAAGGACAAGATCTCCAGTTCTTTCAATGAGCTCTTTGGCAGCAAAGACAGCCCGAAGGCAAGTGGGACGTCCTCTGGCCACAATATCCAGTTGGCAGGAGAAAAATCCAATAGGCCTTTGGCGGCCTCCAGGACCATGGGCCTGAGTGAGTACTCCTGTTGCATGGCCTTGTCTTTCAGAAACAAACAATTTGAAGGGTTTGGTATAGTCTGGTAGGCCAAGAGCAGGAGCAGAAGCAATAGCACGTGTAAGAGTACAGAAGTTGTCAAGGGCTTCTGTGGACAAGCAAAATGGGTCTGACTTGAGAGCATCATAGAGAGGTTGCATAAGGAGTGAGGCTTCTGGGATCCATGCTCGGCAATAGGAAATGAGGCCTAGGAAGGCGTGTAGTGACTTTGAGGTCCTTGGAGGTGGAATGTCCAGTACTGCTCTAACTCGGTCACGGGTGAGATGTCTGGTTCCCTGAGACAGACAATGGCCAAGGAAGATAACAGTAGGTTGGCAGAATTGCAGCTTGAGACGTGAAGCTTTACATCCTTGTTCTGCTAGGTAGCAAAGAAGATTAATTGAGCATTGTTCTGTTGTGGGTAGATCATCTCCACAGTAAAATGGGAAGGGAACAAAGAACTGTAGTGTCTTTTCGTGACAAAAGGTGTATTTAATTGAACCTGGCCGTCTGCAGTGAGGGTGATGGATGCTTGGAGGCGGGATAGGACATCAGCACCAACACAAGAGACATCGGTGTCAGGCAGGAACGATGAGTCAGGCAGGTCTTGTTCTCTAAGAGCACTGCGGGCTGCACCTGTGTCAACCAGGAAAGTAGTAGGGTGACCTTCAATAGGTAAAGTTACAGTGGCTAGTGGCCCCCCTTGTTCCCTGTAGACACTGCCATGGCAGGGGCATTAAGCATCAGTAGGTTTGCTCTCCTCTGTATGGGCTGTGTTACTGACTCAAACCCCTTTCTATGTCATTAGCCATAGCTTTTTGCAGTCTGAACATGTCTATCATTATAAATAATGGTTAATAGTAAGTGAAGTAAAGTTCCTATATGTCTTTGGGTAAAACATTAACTATTGCGGTACTATCATTCATATTAATTAGGCCATAACAATTATACCACCCTGTAACTAAA